ACTCAACTTTTTGCATAATTTTTTAGTACCTGGCTGATATGAATAATAAAATGGCAAAAAAGCCTTAACATCATATATAATGACGCATATTTTAACTGCAGCAATAGCTGGTAAGTGACGCAGAGCTTATAATTCATAAAGCTTCATGAAGAGTGAACATCCTCAAAGTAAACAAAAACAACATACAACTTTAAATTATTAGAATATAAGTAAAAACTACTAATTCTGTAGTATATTTACGAAGAATATAATGACGCAAATTCTAAAGTTCCAATCCTATAACATTTTACGAAAAATATAGAGATGCATATTCTACAATACTTATTCTGTAACGTTAACGTTAGCTAGCTTGTCGACAGTTCTTCTGAATGATGAGTAAAGTTCATTCAAGTAAACATAAGTTGATAATAATGAATAATTGGGTTTAAAATAAATAAATGATATTGTGTTGTTAATCCTCAACCTAATTCTGAGTTGTAAATGAGTTATGCGAAATTGATAAAAATTACATTTCATCAACTTAATATAGATTACATCATAATAGTTGTTGTTCATGCAAATTGATAGTATAAATAGCTTCTCAACTACTAATGTTTCTGTCGTATCGCAACTCGTCTGATGAGTACTGGTGTCGGGTGGAAAGGCTTCGTTGACATTCGATATAGCAGATATAGTGTGGTCAATCTCTTAGTTGGCTGCTTTTCCTCTTGTCATAAATTCAAATTAGGGACAGCGGAAGATAGCTTTAGTAACTTTTCTAGAAATGTAGAAGCACAAACATTTCCTGTTATTGGTAAGTAAGTAATTTTTAGATGTAATCAGTGATTGTTGAAGGTAAAATCGGTTCTGTTGATAACTCAAAAATAACAAAGGTTCGATGGAAACAGTTGAACGTTTCAGCATCTTGAGTTAGTTGGCGTGGCATCTTAGAATAAAATGGTAAAATTAATTGGATTGCACTATCTACATTGTAACCAATCAAGTTCTTTACTTGTGTGTTTGAATTATATGGTGAAATCGGCTTGGGTTGCATTTTCTGTTTGTGTTTGAATTACATGGTGAACCGACCTGGTTGCATTATCTCTATGTGTTATATTTATATGATGAAATTAATAGGCCTATACTATTGTGGTAATCTCAGGTAAAACTGATTTCCCGCAAGAGTGAAATGATAGAGTCTCCAGAATAACAGGATCCTCGACAAGATATTTATTACAGAGCATTTCTGGATTCTTGGAGTCTGACTGAGTTCATGAGAAATATAGAGACTGGACATAAATGTACAAACATACAATGGACAATATTTATTGAGAACACAAATGCAGTGTGTGTGTGTATTTACTTAACACCACGGATGGTCGCCTTTACTGCACATCTGAATCTAGACTGCTTTCTCTCTCATGACTGTTTGAAATTTCGCCCCAGACTGTCCAAACATTATACTACATAGTTAACGCAGTAACTTCATACTTTCTCAGAGCGACTTACGCTAACCACGTAACTGGTCAATTCCACTGAAACAAAAAGGAGGTTGTAACTTTGAGATACCACTTAACTTAACAATGGAGAAAACTGATGTCTACTTTCATACACTAAGTACACAACTTTACAACTATCTTCCCCACAAGCAGACAAGCAAATGACATAGAACAATGGATAGGTAGTGTGAAAGGAACCTAATGGCTTTCTTTACTGATGTGTTATGTAACAAACTGTATATAGACATGAATAAAAGAAAATATTCAAGAAATATTAAAACAAGAGGGTTGGAAATGTATGATACGCTTTCTTGCTTCCTTGATGTGTTTGCATACTACACTTTTCCTCAAGCTGGCATTAACTTTTAAATCCTAGGACCAGTTAAATGTATATGTGTGTATTGTTGAAGGATTGCTGTAATTTTCTCTCGTCCCTGTAAAACCATTTACTCACAATACAAGAAGACACAACTCTTTAACAATCATTAACATTGATAGCTGCATAAAGAAAGAATGTCTCTTAGAAAAAATACAGGGTACAACTGGACTTTTCACCGCAAAATAAGCCATTTGACCTTAAAACAAAACATAATAAGCCCTCTAACAAAGAAATAAAATGCAAAATTAAAACCCTCGGAAAGTAATACATAGGTAATAGTTGCAACAAATATAAAACATTAATACAGGTCAATTCAAACAATTGATCATTCCACAATAATAGTGCCCTTAAATAATGCAATTTGATGGTATTCACATCTAAAGAAAAAATTAACATGATTACAATTTCGATAATACACTTTCACAGTGATCAAAACATAATTAAAACCTTTTAACAAATATTGTGAATGAAAATCACAAAAATAAACCCTTCATTGCACATGTAATTCAATAAACAGTTCAGCTTAACACTGAATGAAAAGTTCCATACATAATGCAAAATCATAAATGTATTTGTGCATATCAAAATAAAACATACAATAGTGTTAAATAAAACCATTTACGAAACATATAATATCATAAAGTAAAATTACCCTCAAAACAGTTAGTTTAAGCATCAAAAACAAAAAGAAATACTTGAATACTTTAAACATGAACATAATACTTTAACATAGGTCATAATTATAACATAAAATTTTAAGTTCAGAGAGTGTGAGATAAAATAAACCCTTCAAATTATAAAGATAATAATAACCAAATGATACATGAAAGAAAATTGACTAAACTAAGTATTTCTTAATAACAAACATATGTAAATAAGAAAAAATACATCTACAAGTAGATGAAACTGCTTTTTTAGCACATGAATAGTAATAAGCAACATATTCAAATGAAATTAGTAAAACATGAACAACAAAAGAAGTAAATAGAAGAAAAAGAAGAAAAAAACTGAATCACATTCCATATGCAAAATTTAATTTCAAAAATTGCAAAATATTCATTACTTACCCAATGGCAAGCATAAAGTCCAACTCCGCTCAACCTCACTTTAACCCCAACAGAAGGTCCTCTAAAGTGGTGAAGGGCTGCTTACTGATCATGGTAATGTCTCAAATAATTTATCAGTCTCGAGATAAAGCTGTTCATGTCTCGGTCAACTCATCCCAAAGCTGACAGACCTCCCTTTCCAGTCGGGAAGGTGGTGCCATTCTTCGGCAGAGCCAGTCTTCATCAGACTTATACACTGGATAAGCATTAATCCATTTGTTAGCCATCTCTTGGTAACTTTACTTTAGCAGCTGGATCTGCTGCATGGTGAAACAGAAGATTATGGTGGTTGGTGGGGTTCTTGGCAGATCGACTCTTGCCCTACCATTAGAGAAATCTACTGTCTACTTTCATAAACTAAGTATAACTTTACAGCTATCTTCCCTATAGAGAGACAAGGTGTTACCTTCGGTGAATGACACAGAAAATGGGTAGCTTGAACGAAAGGAACTTAACGTGAAAAATTCTGTATTAAAACAAGAAGTTAGGAAACTAAAATTATTCCTGCATAGCACACCATCTGTGTATTTGATTTAGCACTTCATTTTGTGAAGTCTAAATGATTTTATTCAGATGTTACATCTTGGTTAAATTTGTTTCATTTCTATTAATAATTTTATATTAAAGATAACCTTCATGTATTGTATTTTAATCATTTATGATATAATATCAGTTGTATATTAACGTTGTATTAGGTCGTCGAGAAATGAATGTCGCGTTTTGGAACACTTTCATTAACCACCCCTTAAAAAACGTACATCACGTATAATAGTTAAACGAACCGCCGAAACGTCACGTTAGTGTAGCCTATATGATGTGTAAAGTTTAATATACTCTAATCCCTGATAGTGATGGCACATGACGAGGCACACATTCGGCATGTAATGTTGTTTGAATACAAGAAGGGAAACAACGCCTTTGTAGCCACAAAGAATATTAAAGAGGTTCATGGAAATGCCTTGAACGTTCATAAGTGTCAACGATGGTTCAGCAAATTTTATCCAGGTGACTCTTTAGCCTTAAAAACTTTGATGGCAGGGTCTGACATGTTGGAATTGATATTGATGCTCTGAAGACGCTTGTTGAATCTAACTCAAGGCAACAAACTTGTGAAATGTCCCTCAAATTGCACGTCTCTGATCAAACAATACGTAAACATCTAAGGAATATGGGAAAACTCCATAAAGAAGGTGTTTGTGTGCCTCACCAACTATCCTGTGATCATCGTTTCCAACGTGTGAACATTGCTTCATCTCTTCTGGAGCGTAATGCGCGTGAACCATTTTTGGACAGAATTGTCATCAGTGATGAAAATGGATTTTCTATGTAAACATTAAACGCCAAAAACAATGGCTCAGTCCTAGACAAAAACCACTTTCGACCCCAAAACCTGGACTTCATCCCCAGAAAGTGATGCTTTGCATTTGGTGGGACATCAAAGGAATAATTAATTTCGAATTCCTCAATTCACGGCGAACTGTCAATGCAAAGATCTATAGTCAGCAACTGGAACGTTTAAATCAAGTCTTTCATTAGAAACGTCCTTCACTCATCATTCGGAAAGGTGTTCTTCTTCTCCACGACAATGCACGTCCACATGTAGCACGTTTGACGCAACACACGATTATGGAGTTGGGTTTGGAAGTTCTCCCCCACCCACCATATTCTTCAAATATGGCACCATCAGATTACCATCTTTTTCATTCGCTGCAACACCATCTTAATAGGAAAACGTGTGCAAATGCGGAAG